TTTTTTATAATACAATTCTTTTGCAGAGTCTGTTATAATACCAAAACTTGTTTTTTTTATTTTTATTTTTTTTTTTTGGAAAAGCGTATAAAACTTTTAATTGTTTCTATGGGTAAACGTTCGTTTATTTTCCATTTTAATCCTATAAAACTTTTTTCTTGTCTTTTTTATTTCCTTTTAAATGTGCCAACCTTTACAATGATCATCCTGTATATCAAAAATGAAAAATTGTTCTCCATTGAAAGTTGTTTATTTGAGAACATATTATTGGTACTTCAATTTAGCGCACATGAGCATCTTATCTTAATTTAAATAAGATTTTAACACTACGTAAGTTTCATGTTTATACGAATATATACAATTATGTATATATGGATCGTTCAGTATAATATAAATACAATATATTTTGCAGTTTAATAAATAATAAATAATTTAATAAAGTATTATTTATAAATTACTAAATAAACAAAAATATATAAAGATCTATAAAAAAAAAAAAAAAAAAACAATCAATTACTGATTCATTTTAAATACTTCTCGTCATCTTTATCATTTATATATCGTCATTGTATATTTTATTTTATTAGTTCTTTTTCGAAGTACGATCAAAACAACAAAGTCATGTTCTGCAATTATAATATTTCTTTTTTATTTACTGATCGATCTTAATATATATACATATATGTATATATATGCATTCATAATAAATATTATATAAAGTTTATATATTCTTAATGACTTAATTACATTCTTCATACACACACACTAGCCACTCCATAATAAACACATTCGTTTTCTAATTACTGCTATTATGTACATAATATTCATCATTAATTCTAAATCATTAGAGACAAGCAGACAGAGTATACATGTATATGCATAGGTTTTCATTATTTTGCTGATTTATTTATATATTTATTATTTTTATTATTAATGTCACAGGTTGTTGAATTCAACTGGTTTTAAGTCCTCAAACTTTAGCAAAAATTTCATCGAAGGAAATGTTTTTTTTTTTCTTTTTTTTTTTTTTTAATATTTTTAATACTTCTTTTTATATTAGACACAAGTCAGACAGCTGCCTCACTGATACAGTGAGTTACAGCAAAGTCTATTTGAAGTATGACTTAGTATGTTTCTTTTCTACACTCTAGATTGATAATGTACAATAATAGAAGTATTTCAAAATAATCATTTCATTGCCATACCTGCCAAAATGAAATTTACATAGATTTTTAAATAAAACAATATTTTCTCATCTTTCAAAGGATAAAAAGAAAGAAAGAAAGAAAGAAAGAAAGAAAGAAAGAAAGAAAGAAAGAAAGGAGAGAGAATTTTTTGTAAAATATAATATAACATAATTATTTTCTCAATTTATCATCTTTGGCAAATGCACAATTAGAAAACAGATATTTCATTTAATAAATCACCAATCAAATTTGATATAAAATTTACTCTATAGAAGATTTTTGTGCTGATATAGTAATTGGCTGAACATCCCATTCCCTTAGACACAAACTCACTATCTTTTGCATAACAAGTATACAAAATGAGGACAGGGTAAGGGGTTCGTCATTTCATTTATCTGGACAGCATTCTAATATGCATCCTATTTACCAATAACAATAATAATCCTAATCTAGACACACTAAATTATTACACGATTGATTGCTAGTATGCCTAGTACATCAATCAATTAAAATTATGCTACCAAGTATTATGTAATTGTAAATTTCTTGAAAGAACTGATCGCACATCTTGCGTGAAGCGTAGAGCATCCAGAACAGGTAGTAAATTCAATAAAGCAGTATCTCCTGCATCGCTAAACCATGATTTGATAGGTATCGCATTGTCTGTTGCACAATAAAATTAATTATATATATATATAGATATAAATATCGCAACTTATATTAACAAATTTATTTAGAATATAATAATATAGTTCAACATCACAACAACAACAAATAATATTTTTAATTATGATTACAAGCACAAGCATTTTTGTTTTTAAATTTCATTCAAATTTTCTATGTTTATACAGCACTATTGAGATTTCTATTACTATAACAATTATAAACGAAAAAGAGAAAATAAATCAAATAATAATATCACTTACGTGGATAAGCTCTGTAAGCTCCAGGACTATTATCAAGAATAAAGACAGAAGCTAAATCTGAACAAATGGCAGAAAGATTCTTAGTATAGGAACCCATTTCTGGAGTACAGTGTTGTCTGTAATATCTGCGCCTTAAAATACCTCGATTGTTATCTAATTTATCTGCCACAGCTGCACCATAAATTTCCATAGATGCAGTGAAAATCACTAATTCGTACCTAAATTAAATATAAGAGTGATATCAATTTAACATAGAACATTAACACGTTAAGCACCAAGTTTCTTTTGCTTAGCTTTCTTTTTTAGCCCACGACAATTCATCATCCAGAAATATTATATAAGAATGTCAACCCCATCACTTATGGACGATGTAGCCTGAACAGAAAGTCTAAAGCTGATTCATAAAAAAATCAGCATGGTATTTAACGTGTTAACTAATACCAAATAATTCAATTAAAATATTATTTAATACAAAGATCTTACCATTGACTAACAATGTCCAAGAAAAAATCTACGTGTGGCCTTTTATGAACAAAAAATCGAACAGGGTGTCGATCTATCGTTACTTTAAGAACAAAATCTGGTGGTGTACCAGGCCTAACAGTTGGTCTTGCCAGTCCATCATGATGAGAATGAATTAAGGTCTCATCCAAGTCAAGTACTAATACTTTTCTCTTAACTATACCTGTAATACATATTACTCATATTTAAGAATCACATAATAAATCATAATATTAATAATAATAACAATAACAATAATAATAATAATAATAAATACAAATGATTATTTTTAATCAAATACAAATAGAATAAAATATTACTTACTAAGTCTATGCTTTGATAAAGGAGATAATGGGAAGATTTCATACTTAACTGGCTGCATTTGTGAAATCTATACAAACAAATTCATCCAATTTAAAAACTCTTAAACAGATTGCATTATCAATGAAAATATTGTTATCAAATTAGTCTCGCCATTACGATTAATACAAAAGCCCAAATGTGATGATTGGAAATAAACATTGTTTAATATACTTTGAAATATTATTGTGCATAACAATTATAACAATACAAAAATGTCATTGACAGAAGAAAAATATGAAAGATTATACAATGAGAGAGAGAGAGAGAGAGAGAAAAGGAGCAATTGTTTTTTTACTGTGTGCAGCATACTCTTTATGAATATATGTAGAAAGATAGAATGACACATAACAGTATAGAGTTGTATCTTCTTCTAGTTGCTTGGAAAAAAAAACATTCCAGAATAATTCGAGAAGAAAATTAGTCTAATTAAGGGGACAACAAGAACAAAAAAAAAAAAAAAAAAAACAACAACAACAACAAAATCAAAACTAAAAAACTAAAAAGGAAAAAGAAAAAAAGGAAATATGATAGGAAGAAAAAAAAATAGAAAAACAACTGTAACAGTGAGAGAGAGATAAAAAGAAAGAGGCGCGAAGCACCTACTTACGGCTCTAACCTGCTTCTTGAGTAGAAAACAGACGCATGTCCATACGCGGGAAGCCATCAAGAGAAAAGCTCTCATTCCCATCTGCAATTGTTTCAACATTTCTACTGATATTTAATCACCGGGCCGAAGTCCGGCAACTGTTTAATCACCAGTCAATCTCTCTCCTTTTCTTTTCGATTCCTTTTCTCTACCCTTTTTTTTACCCTTTCACACTTGGCTTCACGTTGCGGTGGTCACAAACTTTATTATCGTAAACAAACTCTTATCTTCTAATTATCTTGATTATATTTCAGATAGATATCAGGATACATTATGCTAACTTCCAATTAGGAAATTTCACTTTACACTTGAACAATGGTATTTCCATTACTTTATCTTTTCTTAGATTTTTTTTGCATTAAAAATCTATCTATCAGTATTATTCTCTCTCTCACGCGCACAACATTGCTGCCGCCATCTTTCCCACATCGACCCAATTTTTCCATGCGCTTAACCACCGCGCATAACCCTCGCTAATATTCAATCTTGTAGACTTTTTTTCTGCAAAACGCATTCCTTCTTTTCCTTTCTTCATTTCACAATCCGATAGAAATATTCTTCTGATCTGTACAACGTTAGAAGAAAATCTTTTATTAAATATATTACGAATTAAATATTCGTACGTTTAACCCCTTCTTCAGTTATTATATTTTTTTTATTAATTTTTACCGTACTTTTTAAATGTATTCTTTCATTTATCGTTATATATTCATTCTCTTGATTATTATATTTCTTCTTTTTATTATTCAAATTTGTCGATAACATTTATTCAACATATGACAAATTTAAATTCTTCAAATTTCCATAAATGTTGTTACTAACTTTCATAGGATCCCGCAAAATATAGAAACGAGCCTAATTGAAGTAGTTGCATTACGAATATTAAAATATATATTAAAATAAAAATAGTTAATGCTCTATAACTTGTTACACATATTTCTTTGAAAGACTAAAAATAAACTGAATAATAAGAGAAACATCGTCATAATATATTATATATTCAATAGAATTTCACAATTATCCCGCCTTTAGATTTCGAGATTTGAGAATTTGTAACGGGTGCATTATCGTCGCAATAAAAACGAAATTTGATTGGTTGAAAAATAATCGATTAATTTGTAGAATATCGAAACATAAAAGCCTTTGTTTAATTCGTAGGATTAAAATGTTTGATATTTGATTTCGACCAATTAGAAAACGTTGCGTTTCGTAGCAAAAGGCGACTATACCGCCACGTTATGGTAAATGTTGGCAATAACTAATGCTCAAACGGCATAAGCCTTTAAAGTATGTTATGGCGTTCATAAGAAGCAGCTGCTCGATTTGCTTCAAAATACCGGATTCGTAATTATAAGCTCATTCGAATAAGTCGAATCGTGTATTGTTAGATTAAAGAAGTTTATATTTTATTATATTTGTGTTAAGTTATCCAACAATATGACGGACTTGACGGAATTGAGAATGAACGTGGCGGCATTGAAACGCGTTGACCCCTACGTGAAGGATATTCTTGAGACAGCGACCCATGTAGCTTTGTACACTTTTAATGGAGATAATAACGAGTGGGAAAAAACTGACATCGAGGGTGCTCTATTTGTTTACTCTCGAAATGGCGAGCCATATAATAGTATTCTCATCATGAATAGGTATTGCATCTTCGTTTTTCATTACATTTTTTTAATTATGTATATATGCTAATATATATGTACATATATACCATGCATATATACCATGCATATATATATATATGCATGCTTATGCTTTACTTATATTTATTCATAAGGTTCTACATTTTAATTTTGGGTTATGTTTTTTCACAGATTGAACACAAATAATTTAGTGGAACCTGTAACGCAAGGCCTAGATTTACAATTACAAGCACCTTTTCTACTATATAGAAATTCGCGGTGTAATATTTATGGTATTTGGTTTTATGATAAAGAAGAATGTATACGTATAGCTGCAAGTTTATATAAACTAGTTTTGGAAACAGAAAAAAATCGTAAAGCAGCTAATAAACCTATTCAAAATAAAAAGAATGCAGAATCTAATGAGAATAATGTGGATATATTTAGTATGCTAAGTAAAGCTCAAGAAGATTTTAATATCAATAAAGCAAACAGTGGAGGTGGTGGGAAACAGTCGGATAACAGCAAGTCTCCATCTAATACTCCTGCAACGGATAATAATTCTGGACCTCTTATGGCTCCATTAGGTCCTGATGTAACGTCTCAGAGTGTTATGGATTTTTTTGCAAAAGCTAAGGTTAGTGTTGATTACATAATTTATTAATAAATAGATTGTAACACTCATTATTATAAAATTGATGTTATAATATGATTTAGGTAAATACCGGACATTTCAAAGCTGGTGATCAACCAACTGCTATAACTACAGGCCCAAATGAAAATAAGCCTTTATTACTTGCACGATTAATGTCCCATCCAGCAGCGCACACATTAGAGCATATCGAAAAACAACAGAGATCGATAACTCCACAACCTATATCGTTGCAGTCACTAAAACCTACTCCCCCAACGCCATCGATTAACTCAGGTAGTTTAAGTTTGTTAAACAGGTCTAAAAGAAGGAACAACAAACCTGCTTCTCAAGAATCGTCGTCAATTTCTACAACAGCAACAGTTTCTCTAGATCTTCAACCACCGATAAGCCAAAGTAATGATGAAAATAATGGTTCAACTGGATTTCTTAGGATACAATCACCAACAAATACAACACCTTCTAATATAACTAATCATCAAACTTCAAATATTATTACTACTAGTAATACAAATCCTCTTTCATCTTTGTTCGCTCAAGCGCCTGCCAATACAGTAAGAATAATTTATATATATATATATATTTTTGTATTTTTGTGTATGCCTAATTTTTCCTATATACATATATATCTGCATTATTTATTTCAGGCTTCAGAAGATATTATCACAACTCCATCTTTATCGGGTACAGGATTAGCACCTGCATTGATACCACCTGTTATGTTTGCGGCTCCAAGTCCTGCGGAACCTTTAGCTAGGCCATTAGAACCGCTGACAAGGAATCAACTACTTCAAGCTTTTAATTATCTGTTAAGAAGCGATCCAGATTTTATCAACAAACTTCACGAAGCTTACGTTAAATCGTTCGGTGAAATTGTCTTCTAAAGTAACACATTTAAAGAGAGAGAGAAAAAAACATGATAATAAAATAATACAAGAAGAAGAAGAAGAAGGAATAAATAAAATCATTACAATTTGTAATTAATTAATAAAACGCATTATGTGCGGGTTGTGACGAATCGACTGACGATATGTCAAAAGAATTTGATATTCCTAAATTACATATATATGTATATAATATATCATGCTTAAAATTCGATTGACATTTTAAATAGCCGATTTATCCGATTCGAAAATTAACAAACGAAAGAACAACAATGAAAAGGAAATGGAAAAACAAATAAATGAGGCAGAACTACATAAAAAAAAAATATATATATATATATATATACCTTGGGACTGTATTTTTATAAACTAAAAATGTTGTCTTCTCCAGCATTAATTAAAAAGTACGAAAGAGGTGATTGATTGATTAATGAGAAAAAGAAGAAAAGAAAAAAGAAAAAAACAGCGCGAAATACGAGTGAAATATTATAACAAAAACAAAAATTAAAATAAAGGAAAAAAAATATAGACGGACTTGGAATAAGAAAGAAAGAAAGATGCTGTACGATTTCAAACTGTGATGCCAAAACATTTATATTATTACTAGCGTTTTATGATTGCAATTTCAACAAAAAAAAAAAAAAAATAGAAAAAAGATTTAAAAAAAAAAAATAAACAAAACAAAAATTCTGATTACAAGAAGATCTTTTGAGCCGATCAAACAAAAATGTATGTTTTATAGAGTTATGACGTACCCTTCCCATAGATCGGGTATTGACGTGGTGGTATGTATATGTAATTCCTAAAAAGAAGAAAAAGAACGAACAAGAAAAACAAGAAGAAAAGCAAATTCAACAATAACAACACACACACACACACATATTATATATATATATATATATATCAATATATATATAAAAGAAAAAAAGAAACAGATCAAATAAATAGAGATGCAGTATTGAGAAAAAAAAAACCTTCCGTTATATTTTCCTAGAATTCATTTTCTTTCATATCGATTTATTATTATTATTATTATTATTATTATTATTATTATTATTATTTTTATTATAATTATTATAATTATTATTAGTATTAATAATCCCTTTCGCGAGTTTGTTGATGTGATGTAAATAATTTGTGAATCACGATGAAAATAATGCGATTGAAAAACTCGCGCGATATTACACAGATCTGTCTAATAATATATATATATAACAACAACTTTTACATAATAATATTAAGTCATACTATATCACAATATAAATGTTTATAATGGAATACATATAGAAATATATGTCCGATAAATACGCGTTGTACGATCAATGGGATCGGACATTGCAAAAATGCCACAGAGTATGTATGCATTGTGTAATTATGTATATATGCTTGTTTTCACTATTCTCGGCTAGTTTATATCGGCAAGTCTCCATCATTGACATTGTTTTCTTCTTCTATCGCATTTATCGTATTATCTTCCCCCCTTTTTTTTTCTTTTTTTCTTCTTTTTTTTTAATTTTTCTTCTATCTTTTGTTACACAAAAAAAGGCACAATCGTAAAAATTTCATTACACATCTCATCATTATTTTTGTTTGTTTTGTTCTCTACTTGTAACAACATTTAACCAACAACCAACAGTTTGCGGCGATAACCGAGTTGTCTTTATTTATCTATTTATTTTATTATTATTTTTTTGTTTTGTTTATATATCGGAAAGACCGAGCTTTCTCAAATATTTGATTTTCTATAGCACATTGTTGCATAGTACAATATTATACACGTACATATATAAATATATGCATTATTTCGAAGATATTTCTCATGATAGCTAATCAATAGCGAAAAAGTAAACTTACTAAATTAATTTTCTATTTACAAAGTTTTGTCATCTAACGCGCTATCAAAAAATGTGTTCATTCTGTTACAATATTTTAATGTAACTTCTCTTCAAACGTTTTCCATTTGTCATTATTCATACACAACATTCTCTCATTTCTTTGTATAATCCACTCTCTCTCTCTCTCTCTCTCTCTCTCTCTCTCTCTCTCTCTCTCTCTCTCAATCTTTTTTCAATTTTTTATCTACTTTACAAAATAATCGTCTTTTCAGACGTATTTATATATTTATATATAAAA